GTGCACCAACTACGTCCAAGGACCTGCCATCCGATAATTAGTTAATTTTACAGTTGGCCTAGAGCCAGTGGAAATTTATCGCCGATCGGCTCTCGCACCCTGATGGGAACGCGATTCGATTTCGAAAGCGCGCCGGAAGGGGTTACGGCGACTCCAACTTGGATCCTTCCAGGGGAGAGACATTTTTTCGGAAACGAACGGTTGGTGCGCGTCGCCTCGAGATTCAGATCGAAGCTTCAGCGAGAGGGAGAAGAAAAAAAAAAAGGAGAAAAAAAGACAGACTTTGGGCATTCTTTTGAGTGAATGAGAGCGGCGAGTGATGAACAGATCCCAAGTACGTGGTTCGCAGCTTTGAAACATGTGATACGTCAGCCGGCCAGATTCACTTCTGGTTACCGAGACAAGAGTACCGAAACGCAGAGTAGAACGTGAGTGAAAGCAGCGGAAGAGAAGGAATAGGCGTACGGCCAGAAGTGGTATTCGCGGGCTGACGCATTTTTTTAAAGATTCTTTGAAGTAGGATGCTCTTTTGTTGAAGGTTGATTGTTATCAAAATGGTTGTGAGGTTATACTATTTGAAATGTGTTAACGATGCGACGCGGACGTTCGTTCGACCGATTGGCACCACTTCCGGAGAACGGATCGATCCTTTCGCGAATTTGTGCTAATCGTCCTGTCGAATAGCGAACGGGGAGATGAATTGGGAAAACGTGCGCTCTCGTTCCACCATTTTTCTTTTTCTACTTTTTCACTCGTCTTTCGCTCTATCTACATCTTCGACATTCCTCGTTAACGCTGGAAGAAAACTGCATTTTTCGTGACTTTTTTCGTCGTACTTGCAAGCGTTACGAATCGTCTGGAGGCATTTATTCTTCGATCGAAATTCCATTGACGGAAGCGCATGTATTCCCACGAAGATTGAGAAAAATTCGTCTCCGAGGAAGCGTACAACTGGCATTATCCCGCGTACAGTCTGGCTCGAATTCGTCCATGTTACGGCAATTCGACGACGTCCTCCCGTCGACCGTTCCTCTTCGAAGAACCATCGGCTGTTAACGAGAAGCGGAAGGAGGAGGATGTACGTCGGCAGGACGTGGTCGAACGGCGTGTGGAACGGATAACCAGGCTACTGGAAAAATGTGCGACTGATATAAACCAGTATTCGTGCGAGAAATTGTAAAATAAAATTCGCGTAACCTAGCCTTAATGAGAAAGATTAAATTAGATATAATTGGGCCGGTACCGCGAAGGATGGTCCCGCGTCGAAATTATCTCGATTGGCTGTAAAATATTGTCGTGGAGGAAGGACCGTGATGGCGACGTTAACGAAAGGAAACAGAAGGAAGAAGGAACCAGCCGCGTTCCCCGCGTTCGAGGACGTCGCTGCCTCGTGTCCCTCCTCGCACGGTGATGTATTCTAGTGAGAGTAATGTTATTAGGTAACTTAAGCGTATTTTAAAAAAAAACCGAGCATAACGAAATGCCAGTTGTAAAAAGTTTTTCTTTCCGATGAAAGAAGGACAACGGTGGGAGGGAAGAAGAAGGGAAAAGAAAAAATAAAGTAGAGAAAAGAAAAGAGAATAGTCGGAGAAGTGTGGAAAGACGTGTTCGATGAACGAGTGAACACGTCCCGAGCGACGCACGCGCCCATTTGACTGCCGGGAAACGGGAGGTTTACATAAGTAGATTGGCGACACGATCGACTTCTATTGAAAATAGAAAAGGGTTCGTTTTGGGACGATACGGGACCGTTTCCGAAACGGCAGATCACAATTCGGTCGCGACGTTGGTTACGATCGGTTTTTTCCTTTTTCCTTACTTTTGCTTATTTCGGACCGCCCGAAGGGAACGACCACGAAACAATACCGCGAAACAAAAGAAACACACAGAGAGAACCTATGGTAAAACAGAGAACAGAACAAACAGGCAAGCAAGCAAACAAACTAAATGATCAAAAAATAACAGGAAAGAAAGGAGTCAAGCAGAAGGCGATTCTGAAGCAAACGGAATAGGAAAAGAAAAGAAAATGGGCAACGGAGCAATTGTCGATGTGTATACGCGATTACAAACATTTTTCGAGAAACGACAGCTTTACCGATATAGTTAAACAATAGTCTTTTGCAACATGAGCACACGTAAACCAACACACACACACACCACACACGCGCGACGAACATCCCACGATACACGCATATACATGTAAAGCGATCCATGCGACGACAACAACAACAACAACAACAACAAAAAGTAACATATTGTATGAATATAACGTTTGCAGTTAGGTGGGACCAAAAACGACTTTATATCTCTATGTGCATATCCAAGCAACCTGTAATTTAATTCATGAATTAATTAATTATCCATTATTAACGACTAGGTAAAGAAAAAGATCCATTGATAGCGATCAAGGACGATGATGAATCATTAACCAATAATTAGATTATTAAGTTTGTTTATTGATGCATTATTATATGATATAATTACTATTATTAACTTTA